TGGGGAGCAAATATTGACATCCAGTATGTCCTAAATGCATATGCCTGTGTGATGTATGTTGCTTCATACATCATGAAGGCAGAAAAGTCAACAAGTGAATTGCTTCGTTCTGTTTCTGAAGAAGTTAGGAACGAAGATATTACTGTTCAGCTTCGTAGAATAGGCTATGCCTTCTTGTCAAAAAATGTGCCTTCTTGTCAAAAAATGTGCCCACTAAAATATCCAACCTGAAAATCAAGAGCTGAAGGAACCATCGAATCCATTTCCTCAATTATCTTGAGCTTCAATGCCTTGATACTCAGAAGCACTCCTGTGAATGTCTTTAGCTCTCGAGTGACAAATTCACTTCTCTTGCCTTTATTAATTATTTTAACCCTGTAAGTATAATCCACATCCACCTGCAATGAATCAACATAATAGTGAGTACGCAATGCACTAACCTGCTTGTCAACATTTATACTATCAGTAGGACTAGGGGTAGAAGGGAAGAACAAAATTCATGGGGGCTGTCATAAGCAGTAGCACTTTCTGGGGTGGATAATGACTGGTTGTTGCTTCCGGGAGTGACAGGCCGAGTGGCCGCGTGGTCTACCAATGTGTCTTTTGATGACTGGACACTGTGGACAGGTAAGGACGTCTGACTTGGCCAATAGTGGCCATATGGGAACGGATGAAAAAAGTAAGAATTATAATGCCACTCATTAGGTCCTGGTGGCATCTAAGAAGAATATCTCCTTTCATCTCCCATACTCACTTAGATCTATTCTACTCGCAGCTAATAAATATTGTAATTAATGAATGGTTATAAAAATTATTTGTAACCGCAGCCAGCGTACGAGTTGCGACTTCTGATCATAGACTTTGCAAAAAGCCTTAAAATCACTGTACACATACACTATGTAACTATAAATAAACAAATTTTGTAATTAGAAAAGCAGGGAGGAGATAGTCTAGTAAGGGTGTCATTGAACACAAATAATGGTTACCAATCTTTGTATTAGGAACATTATCATGCTAAAAGAAAAAGAATACTTGCTGTGGTCGCTGTAATATCAATTCAACAACAAAAAGTATTTTTGTACATTATTGTATTACACGTTATTCAATTTAATTTTGCTTAAGATTTTAATTTACATTATAGATGCACTTAAATTTGTTTTAATATGTATTTCTCCATTTTTATGTATGCAAAATGCACATTAAGTTTTGTATTTATACATGGTTCATTTATGTTTTTTACATTATTGCTTTTATATAGTTTATTTTTTAAATTGGTCATCTAAACAATATACTTGTACAAGTGTACATGTATTGGATGATGCTAATCACATTACCTCTATGATCGTACCTGATTATGGTAAGTTAGAATATAAAGTTATTGTAATTATTGTTAAGCATCATATTTGTAATCTGATTGCTCTTTTTTCTTTCTCTCTTTCCTTTAATTCATTCCCATTCTTTTAGACTATTTCTTTCTCTTTCATTTGGTAGCTCTTAAAGTATCTTGATCATGTTCCTCTAGTTTGAAGCCAGTTAAACAGCAACACTTTATGCCATTTTATTACTCTACTGTAGGCACTATATGTATATTTTGCTTTTTACATGTACATTCCGTTATTTATTCTACATTCTGCTACCTCTTCTGTCTTTCTCTGTCCCTCTTTCAGGCATTTTTTGGCAATGAGTTCACCAATTTAATGTATATGTCTAATGCAATATAAAACTTGGATGGAGAAAAGGAAAGGAAGTGGAAACTAGATTCAGTAAATGAGGAATGAAATAGGTATAGATAAGTGTACCTAATCATAATTTTTGTTCAACTTTTATTGGATTTATTTATATTTTATAGATTATAAAATTGATTAGTAGGTTAGGAGGAATCATTAAAATCAGATGAATTATCAATCGTCAAGGGACCATGGCATTAAATCTTTTGCATTTTATTATGTAAGTTTGATGGAGAAAGGGAGACGAAAGGGAGACCAGAGGCTCAGTTTGAATGACAAAAAATAACATACAAAGTATTTTACAGTATTTAGTGTATTTCTTATTCTTTATACAAAGAGTGAGTCTTCATCATACTTATAAGGTTAATTTTTAATTAATTATTTACAAGTAATTTTTTTCTGTTTTAGTTATTATTATTAAGTTATACACTTTACCATTGCACTGAGAAAGGAGCATCAAACTGGGTTTCACCTCTACCCTTAACCTCTCTTGATTTCCACCTCCACTAGTCTGCTTTTGGAGATGCCATTCTCCTTCAGTGAAGATGGAATATTCCTGACGCTCCATCTGACTGTATGTGTGGTCAGCATTTTTCCCTGGACTATGCTTTGTCATGCCCTACATGTGGTTTACAACTATCTGCCATAATGAGGTTTGTGACATCACTGCTACATTTTTATCTGAGGTTTATTCTAATGTTTAGCTAGAACCCCATCTGCAACCACTCATAAATGAACACTTCCCCCTTCAGATGGCTAATTGTGATCAAAACACTGGTCTTGATGTAATGTCTAATGGCATGACGTATATATACAAGGGTTGAAGATAATTGTGTCTATGTAGTACATGCTTGCAGAAAAATGTTTCTAACTATAATACTTGCTATTGTGGTAGTTCAGCAGCTTGTCCTGGTTAACATTTAAGAAACCTATATCCCTTGTATCAAGAGTACTCTTGCTTGTATTGATTAATCATTTCTAAGCAATAAAAGATTAATGCTGCTCTCCACTACTTTTCACAATTGAGACATCAAGAAATGATGTAGATTTGATCCCTCAATTACATTAGTCCTACATGTAGCTATACTTGCATGTGTGAACTATTTAAATGTGTTAATTTAATATGTACAAGATACACTATACAGCACATATATAATAATAAAGTCAGTATTGATTTCATAATAGTTACAAACGTTGACCTTAGTCATTTTGAAGCAGGGAACTTTAATATCAGTAGAACAATCAAAGAAAATTAAGTGGAGTCAAGAAAGAGTTAGTAAAGATCATAAGCAATAGACATCTTGCATGTCATAGGCTGAGAGAAATTAATTATGCATGCTTATGGGAGGGCCTATAATACCACAAAAAGTTGTGTTCTCACCTTTACATAATACATTGTAACAGCCACTTCATTTTGCCTTTCCTGATAGGTATGTCTAACAAGAAAATGTTATCAAGATTATATGATGTGTCTCCTACAAATCAAGAAACAAGACTGCAAAGTAATTTGTCCACAAATTTATTTGATAGTTTAATTTCTAATTTAAAAAAATATTACACACATTATCGTAATTTGGTTCAATATTATGTAGATCTAAAAGAGACATTTTAAAATAACATGCAATATAATGAAAATATATTGACCGCTAGGAGAGTATTGTGGAATCAATTTTAGTGGCTACAAGTATAAAGGGTAAGTATATAATGAGTCTATTATATTATCTTCCTCACTGA